CAATCTGGTTTTTGTTGTCCTTGGGAATGTCACGAATAAAACGTCCTTTGTTATACATATATGATTATTGGAGATTTCATTTTCATCCGCACGATTATGAAAAATAATAAACTGTCGAGATAATAAATGTACTCGTATATTTTAGATAACGAATCATGCGAAGTGTCTTGTTATTATTATTTGTGAAAAAAGTTATTAAATCTTATACGTGTTTCATATTTATTAAATTTATTTAAAAAAAAAATTCTTTTTTATACAGCTACGTCGTCGTAAATAGTGAAAATATTAATTGCAAACGAGGTTCTTATTTTTCCAGCGAGCTCTTTCGTGCCATATTTACACTGGTATAACTGCGAGTGGCATATGCCGTTTTTATCGTGACAGAAATGACGAAATTCCATATGGATGTCAGAGAAATCGTGGACTATCTCATAATATTATATATAGATAGTTCGCGATAGTTCGCGATAGTCCAACGGTCTAGTCGATACATGTATCGTCGCTGTGATTGCCTCGTCGAACGTATCAATGTAATGAGCATCGTATAATGACGCGCTGTTTATCAAATTCTTAATTATTTGGAGAAAGTAGTACAGGTTGTGATTTGAAATGCGACGAGAAATAGGCTTTCCGACTTTGGACAAGTTTTTTTTTTTTTTAGAATTATTACCTCATCGCGGTGAGGACTTTGCCCTTGAGCTTTGTTCGTAAATACGACGCATTTTTTCAAACTTGGACTCGGGATGACAAATATTATTGAGGTAACGTGACATCATCTTTCTTTGTGTTCTGTTACAAATTCTTGAATGTTTTTATTTCCAATAAAATAATATTATAAGCAATGATTTATGATTAGCAATGGATCAGCGATTTTTCGGCAATACTTTTATCGGTATATTGTCATTCAGTGCTTATCTATTGACTATGTTAATGATAGCTTTCCCGTAGATATAACCTCATAATCTTCCGGTTTACGATAATTTGATAAAGTTTAAAGCGTTGTGTTCTCGACATGAATTTCAATGTATTTATCATAAAATCCTCGGTTGTGGCTCGAGTTCGCTTCGTAAACTGTCTTATTTGAGTGAATAGACGTGCTAGCCACTTTTATAAAAAATAGAATAATCTCGAGAAGAATCCTGAAGGAAGTCACACAAGTATGTTCATGCTCTAAAATAAAATAGTTTTTAATCAGCGATTGAATTGAGAAAAGAATCTATAATTCAAAATAAAGTTTCGAGAATAATCAGAAACATCTAAAATTCTAGTTTCATATTTTGCGTATAATAAAAAATATTTTTTAATAAATAATCCTTTGTACAAAGTTTTCTTTATAAAGTTCCAAGAAATAAGATAGAAAGTTAATGTTACTTATGGAAATATATTTGTTTACTTTTCCTAGCTGTATTTTTTCTAATGACTAATAATTATTTTGTATTTTTTATTTTATTTATAGCTACATATAGTAGATATGGAATAGTGAATCGATACAAAATAAATATTGTCGTTTCTTTAAAGTTAAAATTAAATTTTTGATTACTACACATAAAAAAATACTGTATGCAAATAATAATTACATATTTCAAAAATTCATATATTTGCAAATCTATGACAAGTGTTCATTACAAACATTAAATTTATTCAAAATATATTCAAAATCCTAATAAATTTAATACTTTAATCATTATTAAATTAAAACAAATTTCATTTGCTTATTATATAAAATCATTTTTTGATCAATTTTATAATAGTTTTCAAAAGAAATAAATTCTTATTTTAAGTATATATTAATGAGACTTTCTAAATTTATAATAAGTATATTTTAAGACTATTATCAAGAATATATTCTTTGTTAAAGATAACCATTAATAGAAAGAAAGTTAATTGAGTGATCACTTTTCTTAGTAATAGAATATTTTTTTGTAATCACATTATCAAACTAATACTAAGAAACTAATATATAATAGAAATGAAATCGAACTTTGTCCAATTGATGATATCCGTTCTTTGTATTCATAAACCTACTATTCGCGCGAGGAATATCATTGACTTTGTACGATAATTTTTGCATCGTAATCTTTTCTTCCAATGGGAAGAGAGTCAACAATCAAGTACTTATCGTTCTTGCGGCAAAGTAAAATAGAAGAAGATCGAGTTGTAAGAGGAAATTCTATTACCTTTGTCTTACTAATTTCAAGAAAAATAAGTTGTAAGTTATACTTTGCTTGATTTTTTCTCTCTATTTGTTATTTTTTATTTTCTATTGTCTCTCTTTCCTTAAGAAAATTAAAAAAAAAACTCGGGCGATACTGAAGTCTGCTTGCAAGTATGTTATTTTCAGCTATCGGTTCTTTCTGTCAGATTTAAATAATTAAAAGTTCCACTACTCGCGAAAACTATACTTGACGAGTTGAACGATATTTGCGGCGTGTAACTTTCTCAAAATGATGCAAGAGTATTAAATATTGTAATACCTATCTCATTATGCCATTGCATATCGTTATTCACAAAGTTGTATGCAGTTCACTTTAAATTTATGTTGTAGTTTATAATTAATATACATTTATCTTGTAGTTTATAATTAATACGCGAATTATACGTACTGACATGATATTTGTTAATTGCTGAAGTATAATATTTTGGATAATTACGGACATAGAATTAGGAAAAAAAAATTTTAACTTTATAAAGCTAGTTTATATTTAATCTTTTTCATAATAAATATTAATAATTATAAGTGATATAAAAAAATTTATTAGCTCTCTCTTATTAGCACACCTTTGCATTAAAAAATATTTTACGCCGTGGATCGTTTTAAAAAGAGTTTTCATTGCGAAATGTGAGAGAGTCTCAAATAGCTAAAACTGTAAAGAAAAACTGTAAAGATTAATGAACTGTAATTCATTTTCTCGTATATGCAATGTTTAGAAAAAATTTCTGCGAAACGTCAATTTGTTCTTAGATATTGAACAACCGATTCTTCAGATGATCTGAATACATAAAAAGCAAATGTATTTATAGAAAGTTTTCTCTTGTTTCATATTCGTTATACTTATCATATTGAGATATTAAGAGCGATTTATATGGTTTTGTTTTTATAATGTAAAAATAGGACAACGATTACGATACAGACTAGCGCGCAAGCGTATTTTCCTGAATAATCATAATCGCGAAATCACATTTCATGTCAGTGTTAGTCGTCGTCCGTCTATAATTAGGCTACATTGTCACCCGACCTGTTTAGTCTGGCATGCAAGCGGATTTAATTTGACAAGCCGTAATCATCGACATGGTAAATTGCAGTTTAATTACCTGCAGTGCGACACTATTTCAAAGCTTTGCAGAAAATATAGAAACAAAGCATACCTATAAAACAGACAATTCGTCAATGTTTAAGCACCTCTCTAATTCGCATTAATTTTCAATGCTACGTAAATGTTTAATGGATGCATTGTGTTTTGTCCGACCAAAATAGATGGGATTGAATTAATTGTATTAGTATCGGAAAGCTCAGGATAATGTCTTTGTCCGACGATAAAAAAAATCGTTAATACTGTACAAATCTCTATTAGCCGTAAATAGACGAAATTTATTACAATGTTGCTTTTATTCCTATCTCTCTTAAAATTGTGTCTCTCGTATGGAAGCGATAATTATTTTAAGATAATTACGATATTTATTTAGTATTGTTCGAATGGATAAAATAGGCGGTTCTATTATACAAAATAAAAACGGAGATTATTCTTTGCAATTTTACCATATTTTATTTTCGATACTGGATTCATTTTTTAATACATTTACGAGATTACTCGTGATCGTGAATATATAGGTTTGCAGCGTGGCGATCGATCGAGGCCATGTTAATAGTGCGCGTTATCCGCGATCTCACTGGAAACTGTCTCGAAGTTGCTTCGATTAATACTCGTTCCTGCCAGTAGGAAGCTGATGAGTTGCCGACGAACTACGATGAACGGTTTCTAGCTTTTTGCTCGAGACTGTAATGCATTTGTAAAACGTGACACGTTTGATAAGTCGTGGCTACGGAGGTTTAGAAATTCTGCAGCAAATATACGCATTCAGACGTTTGAACAAAAAGTGCATGTAATACATGAAGTAATAAGAAATAGGATACATAAAATATCCAATAATTGTCATCATATATGAAATAATAGAAATTATTGTTTAAGTTAAATATATTATCGCGCATATTGCGAAATTGAATTTGTAACATCCAGCAGATAGGAATGAAATAAGTATTATAGAATAAAAAGAGGTGTAAAAGGAAAAGGTAGGCAGTTACAATATAAAATGTGTGAAGATTTATTGCAGATAGAGAGAGAGAGGGGGGGAGAGAGAGAAGATACGAATAACAAGAAAATATTGTAAGCACGTTGAGATTGGTATGTTAGGGATTAGACTTAAAAAAATAGTATAAAAGATGGATGGATGTGTCAGGTTAAAATAAAAAGTGAACCAAGTCCTTTTCTTGGCTTGTAATGCACGGAAAGAACATTTTTGCTGAAATATTTAAAAATTCAGCTAGACAAACTTACAAATCTGAAAATAATTTTGTTGGACTATTAATATAACTATGTAGAACGCTCAAGCAATAATAAGGAGCAGCACTGTAAAAAATTTTGATATTCTAGCAACTAGTTTGAGTGTTCTACATAATTATTTTGATAGTTTAATAAAATTATTTTCAGCTCTTTTTAGCTAACTTTTTATATACTTCAGCAAAATTGTTCTTTCCCGTGCTGAAGGTAATAAAGATTCTTCTTCTTTAATAACATCCAGCAGCCAATGATCTCAAGATCCGTCACGTAATCGAACAAGAAGGAAAAGAAACTCAATATAATAACTTAATAAAAACTTTTCGTCACGTAAGATCGCCTCTTTGAACCATCGTGTGCGATCGATCTTTGTGTTATTAAAGTACCGTCATCGTCCTGTGGCGCAGCGCGCAATCCACCGATTTATGCTAGAACTTTCCTTTGCAGGTATCGACAGTATATCTTCCAGTAAACAACGACGGTTGGCAGAGATATTGTTCATAGAAGCGACGAGCATCTTCGGAAACCAATTAAACCAACTGCTTCTCCGCGAGAGCGTATTTCTGTCTCGCGAATATTGGAGAATTGGAATCTCGTGATCTTCGAGTCTGATTTACGAATTCAACGAGAATCAAAGCGGTTTCGAAGCGTAATTCTCTGATCTCGTGAAATATTCAAATTTGACGAGAGAATATAAGATGATGCTGATGCAGGAGCCCGGTTGGAAGTTGGAGCGCAAAGGTTCAGGGGCGCAGGTGTTGCGCAAAGATGGATCTCACTTCAAAAGCAGCACCGCACGCGTATGCTTCCGATGTGACGTGGAAATCCGGGAATTCGTGCCAGATGAAGATTATGGCGTGACGGAGACCATGGAAATGGAAACGGCCGCAAGTCCCTTAGCAATGCTGTCCAGTTGCGTAGCAGCGCTCTGCGTCACCATCCTTTTGCCATGGCTCCTGATCGGAGGCTAGATCGTGCCGCTTTTATCATCGATCATGGTGGGACGTCGTCAATCGAAAAATTTGCATCGGCAATATCATCCCTTTGACTGATCTACGAATGTACTGGGTATTCACCTATTTTTACATTGGTGGTACCAATAGTCGTTCGAGGTATATGGTTAACGATGGTTGTAACGTGAATCCTTGTGTTGAATATTCTCAAGGAGTGTTAAGATGTTATATAGTATTTATAAATGTATGTTATAGTATTTATAATCATGGATACTGTAATACTTTGGGGCATTTTTTTCGGTTAGAGCAAAGGTTCTTCACGTTCGACCATTGCATTCGAGGAAAGACATCTGAAATTACACGAGACTGTCGCGTGATTAATTGTGTGGACCGATAAATCGAAGCAGAGAGATAAATAGGTTTTATCGCTATGATTATGTATACAATTTTTAATTACATTCGATCGATACGATAATTCAAAAGTTTGTTTTTATCAATTTCTGTGTATTATGTTGAAAATACTGTGAATTTATGACGAAATAAAATTTTTTTTACAAAAAATTTGAACGCGTCGAAGAGATTCCTGATTTAATACGTGATGAACAAGGTCGTTTTTATAACATAGCGAGCTGGAAGAGATTCAGAACTCATTTAAAAAATATGAAGCATTAAATATTTTTTATTATGACAAAAAAATTTGTTAAAGCCACTAGAAACTTTATTGATTCAGCAAATCTACAGTTATAATAGCACGAACAGACAGTTTTCTGTGTTGGAGTGGCAAAGTTGTACAGCTGAATGAAATTAGCGATTATAATCATATTTGTTGTAATGGCACAACAAATTTATTAATACAGCAAAAATAACTTTCTACAAAAACTAATTCAACATATAAATTAAAATTTTTAACAAAATATGCAAGCTAAGATGGCGCATACGTTTACTATTGTAATGAAAAAAAAACCTTGATAGCAATTTCCATTGTAGCAAAAAATTAGCTGACTTAACATATCGATAATTACTGATATAACTGCTTTGTTAAACTACGAAATTTTTTCGCTATGGATGTTGAATTCGTGTAGCAATCTATAGCTTTGCTGAATCACCCAATCTATTTTTTCCGTGTATAGAATAAGTTGTAGTATATTTAATAAAAGAGACAGGTGTAATGTTGATGTTTGGATGTTATCCAAAATTTTCAATGTTATAAATAACGAGAATATTTGACTGATTTTTTTTTGTAATTGTATAGTTGAGCGAGAGTTACTTGTAAGATATGTATGTCGATCTTATAATACGGTACAAAATTTAACATGATTATATTTTGCTAAATGTTATGCAATTCCAGTTTTGTAAAGATTTTGTATGTATAATAGAAAGGCGATGAAATAATGAGTGAAAAAGATTTTAAAAACTACCCGTCGTTGGCAGGTGATTGATTCCAACCTACCACTTGCTACAGGTGGCACAAGCGATTCACTTCTCTTCCATCTCCCCTCTATTCCAGAAACCGCCGATTACACCGTCTGCTGTTAAGATTTAATGGTCCCGTACAGCAGCTGTGCTACTGCAGATTTATCTTAGCCGTTTTATGGACCTCGCTGTATCGTTAGGTTTTAGATTAAGAGCCGAGTAACAGCCGGCTACGAATTCGCAAGACCACGTGGACATGCAGTTGAACTATAAAACCGAAGAGGGTGTGGTATAATATCCTGCTCAGTACAGAAATTGTCGGTAAACTTGAAACAACTTGATCGCACGGAATATTTCTATCATTTATATTCTGTCGATGTTACGAAGCGACGGCTGAAGAGGCGGCAGCCGCGTATATAGCGGATAAGCTGTCACTTTTTGTAGCACAATTTCTATGTCCACGTATAACATTATTTCTTTTTCTTTTTAATTCTATAATGCCGCTTTGTGATGTAAAACATAGTATTGAATATGTGAGAACCTTGAAGTAATAATAGTAATCGGAAAGAGAAAGATTTTAGCACAGTTTTCATAATTAATTTTTCTCATATGTCATTTACGAGATACATATGTACATATATTTCTGATTAGCTGGAAGGTATACCTACAGTGTCTGCCAAAATTTTTCGGTTAATAAATCATTTTATCGTTTTACTCAGATAAAGAATCTTTATAAAGATATAGGCCCGTATTCAGAACGTGCTTTTACCGATAAAAGCGCGCTTTTATCTCTGAAATTCTATACTATGTGTGACGTAAAGTATAGTATGTTAGCGCGCTAACATCGTTGTAAGCGCGTTCTGAATACGGGCCATAGTATATTAGTTTTTTATATTTTTTAAATATATTTTGATATTTAATTTATATTTTAAGTTTATTATAACAAGAATTTTATTAACTTACGATAAAACCAAAAACCAAATTCGTAAAAATGATCGTAAAATTATATATTTGCCGGAAACTTTTGATGACTATTGTAAATCATAAGAATAAGATAAAAGAATAAGGAATAGGAGAGCAAGGAATAGAGAAGGTATGGAGATAAGAATAAGGAATAAAGATTTAAAATTTTTACGAATTTCTTTGATTCGCGTGCATTAAACATGCATTAGATTTATATCCTTTATAAATTAATTATACACATATCAGAGTTATTTTCTCTCACGATATATCCTGCAGCAATCGATTAGAGCACGAGCAAGATATACAACAGTTTAGTTTATCCGTTATGTACGATATTCCACCGAAATATACGCTTCATCAAATTTACATCAAGGAAGTCTTGAAAATTGCCAATAAACTTGTCAATAGCAGCAGTGACGTTCTTGGTGAGACAAAGTCCTCGAGACTTTGAACTCTTGGAAGATACCATCCTCTAAAGAAAGTCTAATGATGAGCTGTCGTTAAAGAATGCCGACAGTAATCGTCTCTAACGTAATCACTCATCGAACATCTGATCGTCTGTGCACCGCAACATTCATCGCGAACCGACATCGTTATATCATACAGTCATGGCACTCGCACGAATATCCGATTATGATATAACAGTCTGAAGCGCAAGAAATAGATTCTTTTAAAGACGACGTCGACGCGGCAATAAAAACCGTTACGCGGACTTATAGGGACTTTTGCGTGCGTGATGCTTTATTTTGAAATAATATTATCGACTTTCACAATTTGCGTCATCATTTTGTTGTTTTAGAAGATATTAAATTATATAAATACGTGAATTTATGACACGTTTTTTTGATACGTAGAATTTTGTACATGTGATACTTTGTTCTTTTTCCGTACATCGAGTGAAATTTTATACAAAATTACATTTCGAATGGAAGTTCAGTTCCATAATTTTACAGTACCGTCTCTACAATAGATCTCTACAATACATCTTTAAATTATAATCTTATTTTATGTTACATGTATAATAATTTTATATGTTCACGAAATTATTTGAAAATTATTTAAATTTATTTAAATTGTTAATCAAATTTATTGAATCCTGAATATAATACGCATGATGTATTTTTTAATCCGTAACATATCGTTTTGTGACGTTAAAGGAACATGTAAATCTTTGAGACCTACTAAAGTTTTTGATTATTAGTTTTATTTTTTAAAGAATTTTTCAAGTTTAATTAATTCTTAATCTGTGGTGTAACTATTTAAAAGACACAAATCAAATATTATTGATAGAATTTATTGCTTCTAAATTTTTTGACATATAAACATGTGTTGAAAATTATTTTCGGAAAACACTGTTTTAAATTATTCCTAGATTTATTAGTATTCATATGTTTCAGTTATGGCTTAAATAAGATATCGAGTGATTGAAATTCACTCGATATACATTTCTGTTCCTTTTTCCATATATATAAGGCGTACATAAGGGATTTAAATTTTTCAGTCTCTCTTCTCTTCACAAATCCGTCTACATTTTCCGCGCATATTTCTTTGGCCTCTTGTACATTATTGCCGGTATTGGTTCAAGGACCATCACTACCGTTATGTGAATGTCTTCCGTTTGTCAGTGGCCATAAATTCGTTACGCGTGGTTTTGCGTGCTCGCACGAGTTTACGTCCGTCGGTCGGTGCGACCCTTGGAACGTACCTCGAGTTCCACTTTACGGACCGGAAAGATGGATGAGAGCTTCGCGGGAGGCGAGTTGAAATAAATTTCAACGAGACGAGAGGGGCTCGCGGTAAATTTTTTTCGTTTAGCGAAACCGAGAGAACCTCAAAGGAAGAGCCAGTTTCTACTGGCTTATGTGCGCGCGGAAAACTTGCTCCTTCTCTCTTTCGCTCGCGCAAAGGTATCGGCGAATTCTATTGCTGAAGCGAAGGAGGTTTTGCTCCGAACGAGGCTGGTAATACTAAAGAGACTCTCCCTCCGACCCATCTCTTTAACCTCCAACGGTACTGCACTTCGTGCAATTTCACGGAAGATTGCAACCGCTCGCTGAGATTTTGTATATTTAATCGACAATGCTGTTCGAAAATGCCGGAATAAGAGAGAAACTTGCAGACAGGTACTCTCGTGACGAACGCAACGTGATTATAAGCCAGCGGATGTACTTCTGGAAATAATTGTTACATAATTATTATAATTTGATGATACAGAGGTAAAATTTAAATAATTAGAAAACTCAATAAAATAATACACGTATCTCTCTATAAAATAATGAATTAGCATTTTCAACATTGCACATTTACTTCATTAATTATTATTTCGATATTTATCAAGCTTTGATTCACTCGATGTACGGAATTATCGGCAAAAGACGTATACTTTACTATTCGATTTGTTCGAAGGTTTACTCATGAGTAACGTCTAAGAAAGTACTATCGTTTGCAACATTAACTTACATAAAATATTCTACACAGAAAAAAAGATTTTCTCTGCCGTAGCTAATCTTAGTTTGTTATAATATATTTGCTGCCGTAACTATAAATTTATAAACTACAGCGAAATGGTTTGCTGTGGCTGTTATAATATAGATATCACAGCTAAGACATTAGCTATAATATCTATATTTTAGCTGTCCATATTTTACATCTGCCATTTAGTTACCACATGCAGTTTTTAGTTACGACAGCTACTTTTTTTTCATGTACTGCAGATGTAATAATATTTTATTATACATATCATATCGCTCGAAATTATCACAACGTGACTAGATGTGTGTTAAATTTTTCAAGCTTGCGAATAAAAGTTTTATTGAAACGGGTAAGGATATATCGAGAAAAAATTTAGTTTGCGAAATGATGGTCGTGAGATAAAATACGCAACAACGTTGATTTTATTGAGTAATCGTGAAAAGGCGGGTTTAATCGATGGATTATTCAACATTACGGTGCTATACAGCGCAGCAAATAACATCGCCCCTTTTCTCCTCGTTGTAAATGCACAGGTAGAAATTTCGTTCAGCGAGATAGTGCCGGTAAATCAAAGTTTATTCGTCGTGTAAATCGCATATACGCAGTAAAGTGCCGTCGTCAAGCGGCGACAATGCTGTTGCAACAAATTGTGTGCGCATACGAGATTTGGGAGTAAACCGTGTATATAAACGCGATTATGCATGGGGCGTCGTAGACCGCGAGAATGTATAATCAACAACGTGCTATTTGTTTATGTTTCTAATAAAACGCAAACAAGATACAGCCATTATTTTCGCGTCAGTTTCCCCTCGTTTGTTACAAATTCGCAAATTATTATCTCGAAGATCGGTTGCAGAAACTGCACGAATATATCTTTACTTAATTATTACACAGAAAGGATAATTTTGCTGAAGTATCTGAAAGTAGGTACAGATTTGAAAATAATTTTGTTCAAAATAATTGTGTAAAACGCTCAAACAATAATAATGAGCAATATCGCAAAAAGTTTTGATATTCTATCAACCAGCTTCTACATAATTATTTTTTAGATATTTTGGTAAAACCGTTTCTTTCCGTGTAAATCAATATTTGTATAATGTATTTATGTTGCATCTTATTATAATCTTTCAAAATTGTTCTAAAATACTTACTTCGATTCGGGATATTATATTAGAAAAGATAATTTTATCGAAAGGATAAGATTCTCATTAAAATATAATTCTTTGATTTCTCTATAATTTATGCATACAGTGATTTTTATTAGAAACTAAACGATTAAAGAAGATTGATCCATATAGTTTTTCATTCAAGTTTTTCTCTTCATCGGCCCGATTTATCCATTTTATTTTAAGACGCACCTTCTTTTCACTTATTTTCCAGAATAAAGCCGTACGCATTAATAGATCTTCGTAGCCGTCAACCTATTTACTACGCGCGAACACACTGCGAGACGCGCACACACAATTACCTACTTACAGCTCATTAAACTATTTCCCAATCTTCAATCTTGCGTACATGCAATGGTAGTTGAATCAAACGAAGACTTATGGATACAAATGTCGAATGGATTGAAGTAGATCGATAATAGCGATTGTTCATTGTCAATCAATTGGAAGCGTATAAATAGAAATCTCAGCAAAGATTTTAGTAATATATCTTATTGTTAGTAACATATTCTGTGTCACATTTATACATGTTTAATGTGCAAAAACATTCACTAAACATTATCAAATTTAAAAATTTATAAGTTTGTAAAGTTATAGATATATTTAAAGTTCATAAATTTATATAATTATAAATTTAATAGTTTATAAAATTTCTTATGGTTATATAATTTATATAATTACATGATTATGTAAATTATTAAAATCTAACTTTCTATATTAATTCGGTAAGCTTAAGAAATTCAACTATGTTTCGTGCACATAATTGTTAGATATTAATGGGATTGATAAAGAAATTAACGTAGTGTTTTATATTTGACGTTATTTGAAATATTACTTGATTCGTTCTGGCCAAATTATTCGACATGTATCTCGTATAATCTAAATCTTATGAATAAGTGTAAGCCAAGACATTTGTCTGCTGTAATCCAAAATAGGACTGTCGTGATGCCACGTCGTAACGAGAAGATATATAGG